ATCTACCAGAAGACCGTTAAGCCAGTGGAACAAAATAAAGATAATGTCACAACAACTCAGACAACTCCTGTGGTTAAAACCACCACCACCACCACCAAAAGTACAACTTTAGAGAGTACCACCAAAGCAGCAGCTCCCGTGATCCCAAACAAACCTGGGACCACAGCAACGTATCTCACAACAGGAGCAGAATCCATCACCGCAGCCCCAGTGACCACTTCCACAGCCGAGACTAAAACTGCAGCTACCTCTATGTTAGCAGAGACATCCACCTCTGCTCATCCAACCTCCTCCCTAGCTGAGCCCACAGCGCTAATTAGCACTTCCGCATCACAGCCAACCACACTCACTCTGCCTGCTAGTTCAACGTCTGTTATGACCGTTGCAGCCACCTCTGCAACAACAGAAACGTCCACATCTCTGCTAGAGACCACTTTCCCAGGTGAGACTACAGCATTACTTGGTAACAGGACAGTAGAGGGGACAACCATTGTTGCTCTTCCTACCACTTCACTACCTCAGAGCACAGCTGCAGCCACTTCCACTATTCCAGAGACATCCACATCTCCTCCAGAGACCACTTCTCCAACTGAGACTACAGCAACAACTACTACTACAGTCAAGGAGAGAACCACAGTTGTCCTCCCAACCAGTTCACTCTATGAGACCACTGCGTCTCTACAGACCACATCCACAGCTGAGACTACAGCAATAATTAGTACCACTACAGTAGAAAAGACAAGCACAATTCCTCCTCCTCCCATTACAACACCAGGGAGCACAGCTGCAGCCACCTCCAATATACTCAAGACATCCACATCTCCCATAGAGTCCATGTCTCCAGCTGAGACAACAGCAATAACCAGTACCACTACAATTGAAGAGACATCGAGACTTCCCCTTCCTACAAGTTCACAACCTGAAATCACAGCTGCAGCCACCTCTACCATAGGAGAAACATCCACCTCTCCTCTAGAGACAACTTCTGCAGCTGAAACTACAGCAATAACTAGTACTACAATAGAGGGGATAACCGCAGTACCTCTTTCTACGACTGCACTACTTAG